GGTCCCACAGACCCTAGCTCGGTCACTTCCCTGCTCCGTGACCCTGGGTGGCTGTTTTAGGTCTTTAAGCTTCACATGTGAAATGATGATGAGAATAATGTTGATCTCATGGGATTATCATAAAGCTTCCATGAAATGGTGCATGTATTCATACTAAGTGCAGGACCAGCGTGTGTTGTGTCCAGAAAACTATCAGCCATGAATAGTATTGTAAAGAACCAGCAGTGATCAGCCAGATTAAGAAGGAAGGGGACGGAAATTCCAAGCCGAGGGCCAAAGGCCAGATGTCTGCAGGGTGAGTGCCTTTGTAAGTTTTCCCTATGGCCAAAAGAAGTCTGTGTGGGGAGAGAAGATGGGACTAAAGCCGACGCACAAGCCTGGTCCTGGAGGGCTGCGTGCTAAGCGAGGGGGTGGGAACCAGGCTCTAACAGCTCTGGGGCGTGACTGAGGGGTGAAGCTCACAGAGGCAGGTGTGCTCTCTCCAGAGCACTGTGGTGTCTGGAGGGGAAAGAGAAAGCCCAGAGCTGGGGAGAGAAGTCAGCAGCTACCGCGACACCAAACTACAGGGGAAAGGCTTCCGTGCTCGTCAGATGACTTTCACTGCTGGATTCGGCCAGGTTTTGAGGAACGCGTCCGTCCATTTATATGTCCGCTGCTCCCATCTGTGGTTTTAAATATGAATGTGGGGCTATCGTTCTTCCTGAGGAGTCCATGTGCTTAATAGTTTAGGGGCCAGTAGAGGTTTTCTTTCCAAAGAATGAGTCCTGGAAGCAACTCAGGGCCTTTGGGTGGAGGGGTAGGGAGGCCAGACCTCTGGGAGAGCTGGATGGAAACTGGGAGCTCTAGGCTTGTAGGGGTGAACCTATCGACCCTTATTTTGGGGACCGGTCACTCATGGATGGCTTAGCTGGGTAAATTTAGTCCCTACTCCCTCGCCCCCCTGTCCCCTTCCTCATCCTATGCATATAGCGGCTGACATTCCCTTTGGGTCACTGCTGCCTTAGGCTGACAGAGATGACCGCAGAAGTAGCCCAGTGTTTGGTCTCTCTGTGCCTTGGTTTCCCCGGCAATAAGAAGGCAATGATTAGATTCTCCTGAAAGGTGTGTGACCATGTGACATAGATTGGAAAGCAGCAGGACTGTAGCTTAGACCAGAGGTTGTCAAAGGTCTTATTTGCCAGGCCACCCCTTGTTAGAGAAGAGCCCCGATGTAAACCAGAGAGAAATGGGTCTGCTCTTGATGGAGTGGGGATGGGTGGGCTCAGCTGTCGTTCTCTCTTGGCTCCTTGCCCCTGTTCCCCTTGGGAGGGTCAGAGGGATGCAAGGACCCCTCCGAGTCCGGCAGGAAGTCAAAGGTGGATATTTGAGTAAAGCTGCGGGTCACTGACAAGCTGCCAGTGAGGATTTCCTCCCACAGGTACCTGTGAGCCTTCTGTCCCTTCTGACTGACTTTGTCCAAGTGACACTCGGGAGACTGAAGGCAGAGTACACAACAAGAGTTGGTTGAGGGAATAAAGTCTCTGTGGTTAATCTAACAAATAACCCCTTTTGAGGATACTAGTTGTGTCTTAAAGTCTGAAAAAGTTAATTCACCAAAAATCAGCAGTTGGCTCTCTTTTTGCTTGTTGAAATCTGGCCCCATGTGCCTTACCCTTCAGTCCCGTGAGACACTGGGCCGCTTTAAGGAAGCAACAGAATGGGCAGGTTCACTCGAGCCGCCCCGGGTGATGTCCTGTGGGAGCTGGAGGCCACGTGCAACCAACTCCCAATGGGGTAGAAAAGCGGCATCCCGTTCATACAGGAGGCCACACAGGTCCTTCCCTTTCTAGCACCCAGGCTGTCCTCACCGCCTGGGCATCATTTGTTACCGCTCGCTAGACATCTCCTTAAAACATGCTAATGGGCATCCACACTTGCAGATTAGCGCGGCCCTTCACCTGATAAATTTGTGCATGCTGAATATACACCAGGGGTGTGCCAAGCCTTCCTCATCTATTATCTTGTGAGATTATCATATAAACCCTTAAGGTAAGTACTGTTGTCTTCACCATCTTACAGATATAGAAGCTAAAGCTTCAGAAATAGTAAGTAACTTCCCCAAGATCACTAAGGTCAATAAAGTCAAATAACTTTCTCCAAGTCATACAGCTTCTGAGAAGCAGAAATGGTTATTTTCTTACCCCTATGAACACCCTTTCACTATAGCACTAAGGACAGAGTAGAGGACAGGGCTATTCATTGACTTGCTGTTTATGAAGCATCTGCTATAGACTAGGATGGCAAACATCTGTGGTCCTGCGCACCAGGCCTCCAACACTGAACCAAACACACGGAAATCACGGCCCTTGGAGAGTTTATATTGCAGCAGGCTCAACCAGCCTGAGCTCTGCCATCTCCCAGAACCTTCCCCACCATTTCTGGGTCCTGGTGATCTCTTACCTCCTTAAGTCCTAGAGCTCAGGACACATGAACCCTGCTTGGTCCTTATATTTCTCAACTTCTTCCAAAATAAAAACAAAAGGGGGAATGGCTAGACGAGTAGCAGGACTGACGTACAAGTTGCTTTTTCATTCTCTGGTGGTAGATACTACTTGCGAGTGTCATTTGACTCCAAGAGGCTGTGTTGTGTTCGTCACGTTTTCGTGTGGATAAGGCTTACAGTGAGTTTCTAGAAGGCAAGAGCTGTGTCCTATTCTTTGAACCCCCCTGAAGTTCTTGGTACCTTTTGAGGCAACTCTCAAGTATTTAGGAAAACCTTAATAACTATTTTCTATATCTTACAATATCCTATTAATTATTAGTAATATTCATAATACCAGTAGTCTTTCCTGAGCACTAACTGTGTGCGGGACACTGTGTCAGACATTCTACAATCCATGATCTCATTCAATCCTCACCATGACCTGCTGGCATTTATTACTGGTTTCTTATTACCATCTTGCAGATGAGGGAAGCAAGGCTCAAGGTCACCTGGTTTCTAACTGGGTGGTTCAGCTAACCGGTCCTGGAAACAAAGGTTAAAGGAACTTGGGAGGGAGTGTGGGCTGCTCCTGGTTCTTTCCTCCTTAGCCTCCCTGAACGGGCATAACCACCAAACAGGCTGTTCTCTCCAGTCTAACCGTGTCTGCCGCACGACACCCAGCACACTTGTCCACTTGCTCTCACAGCACGCAGAGCACAAGGATCCTCCTGAAGAGTTCTTGGAGAACGCAGGCTGTGAGAGCAACCGTTGAACCTTTGGGATGGAGGCTGGGGAGCAGACCGCCTGAGCCGGTGGCAACATAAGGTACACTGATAGTCTCTTGACTCCCTCGTTAGCACCATTCTGAAAGCTGTTTCCCTCCTACAGACGTGAAGTCATGATGAGCTAACTCAGAGCAAGAGAAATGACAGGTTAACTTGCCTTTCATTTGTTTTCCATAATAAATGGAATATTTTCTTGAACACTCTAAGTCATTAACATTTCAATTTATTCATGCTCTTTCTCTCTGGTGTCCTAATGGCAATATTACATAATTATACCTGCCATATAGCTATCAAATTTGACGGCTCTTTGCGTGCGCATAAGCACCTGCTCCCACTGCCTTTGTTAGCCTGTTGGGTTGAGGAGGCAGTTTGCTTTTTTTTTTTTTTAACACTATCCTACCTTCTCTCTGTACATGGATTGCTAAATAGGGAAACAAGGCCAGTGAGTTAAGTGACGAGGGACTGGGTGGGGATCCAAGCTAACTCTTGCCATGTACGAGGCGCTGTTCCAAGCACTTTATGTGTATTAACTTGTTTAATCCACCGACGACCCCATGGCTGAGTCTACAGTATCATCACGTCCACTTCTAATGAGGAGGAAGCTGAGCCACAGGGAGACTGAACAAGTAGCTCAAGGTCACACTCGGTTAGGAAGTGGCCAGGCAGAGCTGACTGGAGCTGACCTCAGAATGCACACTCTTCCTTACACATCAAGTCACTCCTGGGGACCAGTGAGTCTAGGCAACTATCAAAGGCCTCTTCTGTCCAACCTTCTCTTCTGTGCTCTCTCACATACAAACTGGTACTGCTGCTGTGTTGGGTCTTTGGGTTAAAGAGAGTGGGGGAAAAGTGGCAAAGTGGTAAATTAGCATGATTAAGTCCTCTCCTGTCCTTGCATCCAACCTCCAAACTGCAGATTCTGTGTAAAATGCCTATGGCCTTCAAGAAGTCGTTAGGTTTCAAACACACGAAGGTATAAGTAAGAATACATTTTAATGAGCAAGTTCAAAATGCCCCCACCCCCGGTTTTGCCATTTGAAGATCAGGATGGGGGCCATATGCAGGTCATCAGGCATTCCTGAAAAGTAGGGTACTTTCTGAATGTACCGGCATTGCTACTTTAAATCATGGGTGAATTTTCAATCAGGCTGCCACAAATCAGGCCCTGAGGTTTTCCCAGGGCGTCTGTGGGTACACACCCCTGGCCGGGCACATGCGAGGAGGGAACTTAAGGTAGCAGCAGAGCTGTGTGTATGTTCCCTTTAAAGTGGTATAATAATTATGTCTGTGTTTTTTGCCTTAGAAGCACAAACCAAGGCTACTGGGGAGGAAAAGAGGCTCAAAGCAATATTTTAATTTTAGAAAACAGGCCTTACTGTCAAAGAAATGGCTCTCTTTAATTCATTAAAAATTACCCTATTCCTTTCAAATGAGAATAAAACTAATATTCTTTAATGCTTGCTCATCATTAATATTATGCCAATTATTGCATTACTTTTGTTGATAAATATTCAGAGGATAAATGAAGCCCACAAGATGGATTAATTCTCCAGCAGTACAAACAAAAACTTTCAATATTTTATATCACATAATTAAATGCTGTTTGTTGTTTCTAGAACCAGAGCTTGGGACATGTTAATTAATTGCTTCGAGAAGACAGTTAGACATGTTTCATGGTTGATATTTGGAATCAGATATTTATAAACCCTGCACGACAATGCTGAGATGAATTACACTTGCAGAATAAATCCTACCTGCAGAAATCTGGGGGCACCATGCCATAAACATTGATCCTGTCACAGAGCTCCAGCGCAATTGTCATTGTGAACCAGCCAGTGCTGAGCCAAGTGTTAGAGATCTTCCTGGAAGGAACAACAGTTAAGTCCGCAAGCTGGTAAAGTCATCATTATAACCATTACCATCTTAAATCCTTTCAGGAGCAAGGCTGACGATTAACACATACTCTCTCTCTATCCAGTTGGTAAATAGCTGAAACTTTACCAGGTAGAAATCTCTTACCAACAGCATCGTATTCCACGGTACAGTGATAAATGATATTCATGTTCTACCATGGTGGATTATGACATGGAAGGATGCTCAAGCGACTTCTACATCATCAAAGATGATGATCAGTGTTTCCGGGTTTAAATGCGTATGACCACAACCCAATTTCTTGTAAGATGACAATCCCCGTGTGTCAACTCTTTCTTTATTAACTAGAATACTTGACTAATTAGAAATATTCCTTGCTCCCCAGGCAGGCTCAATGATGAAGAACTTATTAAATATGTATAAACACACAGATGTGTTTGTCTATGTATTGATTGATATCTACTGATCGATCAATCTACTGATCGATCAAACAATCTTAACGTAAAAGCTTCCCTTCAATTAGACTAATTAACATTGACATTTTGAATGAATGTCTTTCCTTGGGAAGACTACATTCATTTGGGAAGGGGCTAATTACTAGAGGAAAAGGACCACAGGAATGCTTATGCTTAATTGAGCATTTGCTTTATTTTACCTCAGAACATCCAGAGCCCTCTAAAACTTTTTTTTATTAGAAGATCAAATTGACAAAATTTAAGAAATGAATCTGTGTGTTCCTAAATTCATTCATTTGCCCATTCAAACATCTGTACTGAGCTCCAGCCACGTGCCAAGCCTAAGGATAACTGTGGAGACGTGACATCAAGGTCTAATTTGACCCTGTGAGAATGACCCAGTCTACCATGCTTTGCTGCTGTGGATATTAATTTCAATTATTAGGGGGTTGCCGCTTTTGCTTTTTTTCCAGTGCTTATGGCATGCCTCATTAGCCAGTTTCAAACACCTTATCCCCAAGGTCAGACTGTCTGACTTTGTCTGGCCGTAGCACCGTATGTGATGTGAATACCAGAGTTGCTGAAAAGCTTTTCCTCTTGTGCTGTGTAGCACCCCTCTTTGAGAAGGAAGAAGGCTTTTTGCGAATCAGTTTGCATTATTTCCATTTCACATATGGGCCCCCCAAACCCCATAAAAAAACCAAAAAAGCAAAGAAGCATAATAAGGAGTCCTTTATTTTGTCAAATACCTGACAGGAATGGGTGATGTAGTCATGCCTGAGTTCGTGGTTTCCACTTTGTAGTTCTTAATCCCTTTACTCATTTTAGCTTTCCATTCCATTGTCCCCTGAGCCAGTACTAGCCCAGGAAGTACATTTTAAAAAGCTCCTAAAGGTGGGAACACCATGGGTTTGTATGTTGGCTGTTCTATCACGGGCCGTCTGAATGACCTAAGGTGGGTTATCGCTCATCTCTGAGCCTGGATTGCCCATCTATCACGCAGGCCTGGGAAGCTCTATCTTCCTGGGCTACTCTGCCGACTAAATGAGAGAACACCACAAAAAGAATCCAGTCTGGTGTGTTGATACATCGAGACCCCTTCCTCCTCTCTTGGTTGCCAGATTGGAGCAAATGAAGCAAATAATTCAGCCATTACTTTCAATGTTTTTGTTGTTGTTGTTGTTGTTGTTGTTGTTTTAACATCCCTGAAGAAGCTGATATCCTTCCAATATGCTGCTACTGACTCTGGTGTAGGATCCACCATCAATCATCAGGGCACTAAGTACGAAATTCTGGAGCCTCCAGCCTACATAGCTGTTAACAATCCTCTTCTTTCTCACCAAGTCTGTGTATTCATAAGAACTCTGGGAGTTCTTATGGAGAACTTAGGGAGCCTGGGTGGCTCAGTCAGTTGAGCATCTGACTCTTGATTTTGGCTCAGGTTGTGATCTCAGGGTCGTAAGAGCGAGCCCTGTGACGTGCTCTGTGTTGGCCGTGAGCCTGCTTGCGATTCTCTCTCTCTCTCCCCCTCCCCACCCCTCTCTCTAAAAAAAAAGAACTCTGGGACTGAAGGAGGTGGGGCAGAGCAAAGTTAGCCGACTGGAGAAGGAGGCAGGGAGAAGAGTTCTTGCCTCAAGTTAGATTCTGTCTTTGCCTCTGGGGCTGTGACAGTGCAATGGCCCAGTGTTCTAGACTCACACTGGGTCAGTGAATAACTGGGAGCTTGTGAGGACCAGGAAGAGACTGTGTCCCTATGCTTTTAAGTTGTCGGAAGTGCCGAGAGGGCTCTCCCAGTGGCAGAAACTCCCCGTTCCCTTGGCTCACCACTATCTGAGGCACAGCCGGAAGTCCAAGAGGGCATGGCTCTACAGATCGAGGTTTCATGCGTAAAAATGGGGGAGAACGCAGAGTGAAGGACGAAAGAAACTCAAGTGAAGAGTTCTTTAAAGTGCCACTTGCAATTCCCCAGACTCCTTAAATAAGAGCCTTTTGGGGTCACATGCTATCAAAATGCAACTGCCTTGCGCTGTCTTTCTAAAAAGATTTGAACTCTTTTTCCAACAAAGGAGTATCTACTGTTTTTACACTTAATCAGCTATAATGAAGGAATATGAAGAGCTGTCATGTGCTTATTAGGGAAAATTATCAGATATTCTTTTATATGATGAAGTAACACACTGAGCTGATAATTCTATAGTGCACACTAAATTACAATTAAAGGCCTTTCTGCTCCACCAGAATCTCATTTATAATCTCTATGGAAATATTCTTCCTGCAGTTATTTCATTTATGCTTCCTTTATCTAATTACTATAATATTGGTTCTGAATCATATTTTCCTAATAAACCCTTATTCAATTAGAAAGTTATTTTCAAGTACAGTTACTTTCTAATATCAAAGAATACCACTTGGCCATCTCTGTCATTTGTCACGCTTCTTAATTGCTGATTCTTCCTGAGCCATTTCTCCCCCCTCCACTTTTAAGTAGGGTGAAACTTCTATTAATCAAAATCTATTGAATTATCCTCTTTTTTCCCCCAAAATAATAGCCTGAAATGAATGTCCTGATCATGAGATGTACAAAATTAGACATTCCACATTTTGTGTACCTGTAATACATCTTCCTGTTTGGCTGTGTTTCAAGAAAAGCATACAGAGAAGAAATACTCCTGGACCCCCAAATGTCTTGTGTTTTAATTTTCAGAAACACATTTGTTCTAAAGGGCTATTTCTGACTTGGTTCTCTTAGTTTGGAGTAGTCAAGTTAAGAATATGGACACATGAGAATATTGAGCCAATACAATATTAGCCTCTTTAAGACAGTTTCTTAAAGGTAAGAGGCACAAAGTTTCCAGAATTGAGACTGTAGTTTGGCACCCTACAAATCCATAAGTGTGATTCCCCTGAAAAGGGACTGTATGGATCCTTGTGGATGGGTGTCTGCACGTGAGAGGCCCAGTAGCCAGTCCACGAAGACTTGGTTCCCTCTACCAGCTGGGCTCACCAGGGAGACAGACCCACTGAACAAAGTTTTCACTGGTCAGAATTTAATAAGCATAGTGAACAGGATATGTCTCCATGTGAGTGTGTTTCCTAAAGATCTAAGTGACCAAAGGATGGAATGACTGGTCTCCAAGTTATCAACTTAAAATGATCCCTTAAGAAGATCCAGAGCAGTGTGTAGTTATCTTAAACAGCTTAGACTGCAGCCGTGTTTCAGGAATTCTTAAATTTAGCATACAACCATTAAACTAAAAAGAGGGAAAGTGTTTCTATTGAAGAGTGTGGCTACTTATTTCAAATTTTCCAACCAGCAAAAATGAAACTGTAAATAACTCCTGTCATTCTTCTTCCCTTATAAAATGCTCTGCTGGTTAAATAACTCATTCAAATGAGTGACAGTCTCTCTGGTTTGTGGTTTTTACAGGGCAGTAAGTAATTGGATTTCTTGATGACCAGGATCCCCTATGTGATCTACTGGCTGGGCTAACCACAGAGTCCTCTGGGCCTCTAGGGAAGGAGGCCACAGGGCCAGCAGCCAGCTCCCCCCTCTTCTGTCCACAAGATGCCATGCTCATCCTGGCCTGGACCTGCTGCCAAATGGTCCCAAGGTTTCCAGAATTTAAAAAGAAAGGTCTTTCACACAAAGAAGTTGGGGCAGTTTTGGTCTTTCTCTAAGACCCTGTTCTCTGATAATGAGCTGCCCAACATAGGCTAGCCATGGATTTAGTACTTTATGTTCTTCATTTCATTTATCATGTCACTTTTGTTTTGAGAAATCAACCCAGCAACAGTTTTTGTAAGAGAAGGGAGTAAATTACACCATTAAATGTATATTAATTATAAAATTACATGTTTTAGAATCAAGGAAACAAATTTAATCAGCAGACCAGTCCTGTGAGCCCAGTCAATATGCCCTTTTTCTCATGAGGTCACTGCAAGGTTAGGTAACTTGTTCGAGGCCGCACAACTAGTGAAGGAGAGTCAAAAGTCCAGCCTCGAGCTGTGTATTTAGATTACATTGCACCGCGCCTTTTGATACCTAGCTGTCCTTTCTTTTTCACCTAGATTGGGCCAGCTAGTGGCCTTTCGTCTTGGCCTCGTCAAGGGCCACTCCCCCGACTGCAGCCAGAGGGGACTTTTCTCCAACCCCCAGCACATTCTCTCACCTCCGAGCCCTTGTACCCATAAGGAGGTTTCCCTCTCCTTCCCAGCTTCTTCTTTACCTGGATAGATACTTATTGGCCCAGGACTCAGCTTAACTACATCCTTTAGAGAAAGCTTTTTCCTCATTCCCTTATATCCTAGACGAGCGCTTTTCAAAATATTTTGACCTATAATGAGAAATACATTTTACATCATGAGCATATATACATATGTGCATGCGTATGGTTTTCATTTCATTTTATTTTTTAAAGAGTGTAATTCAGGGGTGCCTGGCCAGCTAAGTTTGAAGAGCGTGCGACCCTTGATCTCGGCATTGTGAGTTTGAGCCCCACGTGGGGTGTAGAGATGACTTAAATAAATAAAACTTAAAAAAAAAAATAAATAGGAGCACCTGGGTGGCTCAGTCGTTTGAGCAACTGACTCTTGGTTTCAGCTCAGGTCATGATCTCAGGGTCCTGAGAACGAGACCCGTGTCGGGCTCCACGCTCAGCAGGGAGTCTGTGTGAGATTCTCTCCCTCACTTTCCCGTGTCCCTCCGCCACCCCCATGCACACACCCCTTCTCTCTCTCAAATAAATAAGTGAATAAAATCTTTAAAAAAATGAAGTGTGTAATTCAGTGGGTTTTTTTTTTGTATATTCACAAGGTTGTGCAATCATCACCACTATCTAATTCCAGAACATTTTCATTACCTCAAAAAACCTTATAGTGTATTTTTATATGGGATGAAAGCTGATATTGATGGTTCGATTCCATTCCATTCCATTCCATTCCATCCTATTTCACTGCATTAAAAAAAAATCTTACAGGGCGCCTGGGTGGCTCAGTCATTAAGCGTCTGCCTTTGGCTCAGGTCATGGTCCCAGGGTCCTGGGATCGAGCCCCGCATTGGGCTCCCTGCTCCGCGGGAAGCCTGCTTCTCCCTCTCCCACTCCCCCTGCTTGTGATCCCTCTCTTGCTGTGTTTCTCTCTGTCAAATAAATAAATAAAGTCTTTAAAAAAATAAAAAAAAATCTTACAGTTACTGACTACATTGATTTCATGTCCCATTACTGAGCTGCAATGGATAGTTTGGAAAACTTTGTCTTAGACTTTGGCAGGCCCCCTGTCCTGCATGTCACAGCACCATTTTCTTTCACTTGCATGATGCTTACACCTTGGTGAATATTTGCCCACCTGGTAAAACTTTATTTTTCTTTTTTTAAAGATTTTATTTATTTATTTGACAGAGAGAGACACAGCGAGAGAGGGAACACAAACAGGGGGAGCGGCAGAGGGAGAAGCAGGCTTCCCGAGGAGCAGGGAGCCCGATGCGGGGCTCGATCCCAGGACCCTGGGATCATGACCTGAGCCGAAGGCAGACGCTTAACGACTGAGCCACCCAGGCGCCCCCCGTTAAAACTTTATATTCCAGGAAGTGAGGGCCTATCTCTGTCTTATTTTCGACTATATCCCCAGCGCGTGCTGCAGTGGAGGGGTAGGTACTCAATAAATATCGGTGGATTGAATACATGTTTGCTTCGAAAGGGAAGAATAAACCCATACCCTCCGTGTGTCAGTGTTCACACAAGTAAAAGGAAATGCAATAAAACTATTATCTTGCACTTACTACCAGGGTAAACCAGCAGCTGTATAACCTGCTCCTCCAAAATAGGGCCTTGGCCTCGAATTATCCACACAGTGTCTCAGTGCTTCATTCACTTTGTCTTATAAATTCAGTTTGAGCATCTGGGCAACTAGGACCCCCTGGAGGCGAGCTCTATCAATGGCATGAGCAGTGGGGCCCCCACAAAAAGCCTTAGCCAACGTTTTGCTTTGGGTGACTTGGCCAGAGAGGACATGTCCTCGCCCTCCCCTGTGGCCCTGCCCCTCCCCAGCCCGCGCCCTCTACCTGTCTTTGCCAGTCTCCTGCTTGAAGAGCTCATCGAACTGCAGCATCTTGTGGCGCGTGGTCATGAAGGCCTTCAGCCGCGGCAGCACCTGGCTCAGGAGTTGCAGGTTGTTGTAGACCTGGCCCTTGCCGTCCCTGCGCATGTAGCTGCTGGGGCCCCAGAAGATGAACACGGTGCCCTGGCTCACGTTGAGCAGGTCGTGGCGGTTGCGGAGGATCCTCTGGATGCTGGAATGCGCAATGACCCTCAGGCTGGTGCGATTGCCCACGTCGCGCCCGTAGCCGCGCGTCGGGGCGTCATTCATGCGGATGACGCACTCGGTCTGGTCGATCTGGGGGCCTTGCCGGCTACGCAGCAGGTGCCCGGAGCTGGTCACCAGGGCACAGTCCCTGCAGTGCATTTTTAGGGGCTAGAAAGCAGAGGGAGAAGGAGGCCATCAGCAGGCCCCCCTCACTTGGCACCAGCGGGTCATTCCGCTGCCTCAGGAGCCTGCCCGCGCCCCCTCTCCTCCCTCCCATGCCAGCATCTGTCCCTTCTGCTGTGACCCATCAGCCCTTCCTTACATTCTCTCCCAAATCGGTGACAAGGAGCGGATGACAAGACCGACCTGTCAAACCCTGGGCTCTGGGCTTTACTGATACTAACTAACCAACTCCCCATATCAACCCGGCAAGGTCGCTGTCACTGCCATTTTCCAGAGGGGAGTTCTCAGGCTTGGAGATGTTAAGAAATCTGCCCAAGGGTGCATAACTAGCAAGTAATGAAGTCACGCTTTCAAACCCAGGTCTTTCTGAATCCAAAGTGACCCCCAAACGAAGTAGAGACTATACCACCATTTGCTGTGACATGAGCTTGGAAGCTCTTAACTCACTTTATTGAAAGTTCAGCATGTATCAATATTCTTGGCTGTTGTATGAATATGTTTATCCTAAATAAACATCGCCTGAGAGTCACACAGGGGAAGACATGCACGTTGTAATCCCTCGGATGCCATAACTTTGAAATGACAACTAAGATGGTTTTAAAGAGAGAGGGTGTGAGACTGAGTTGGTCCATCTTCAAAAATGTAAAAAAAAAAAAAAAAAAGCCTCAAGCTCAGAGCCACCGACCTCACCCAGTGAACAGGTGCCCCTTGGAAGCCCACCAGGGACAACTCCAAAGACAACGCTCATTTTCAACACCTTGAACCAATGATTTGCTTTCTGAACACCTATGTTCCCACACATTAAACATTCCCCTGTTCATGTATAATGAGAAATATCTCTTAGTTGCTGTTTGAAAATATTGTAATTAGGGCCTGAGGCCAAGGCCGGCAAATGCACAGGCAAATGACAATCAAGAATGGTTTGAAGCGAAGTAAGTCAACCAGAGAAAGACATGTATCATATGATCTCACTGATATGAGGAATTCTTAATCTCAGGAAACAAACTGAGGGTTGCTGGAGTGGTGGGGGG